CAAAGAGCTTTCAGAGCAAGTGTTGTGAGGACTCTGCAGAAGGTAAAACATTATGAACATCCTGGAAGCGCTTAAGTGACTATAATGAGAACATTAATAGAAATGTGGACAGTTTGGGTCATTCTGATGATATCTCAGAGATGAAAACTAAGACTATTTCATTGGGAACTGGTATAAAGGCCATTCCTGTTATAAAGTTTCAAAGAGTTTGACTCTACAGTTCTGGTGCAGAACTGTTTCTACACCAGAGTGCTTCCTGAGAAGCAGGACTTAAATCCATGATTTAGACACTTGGCAGAAGAAATACCAAAGTAACAAAGTGCTTAAAGAGCCTGTGGTCCCTTTTAAGTGAATAATGAAATAAAATTTATAAGTAAAAGGGAAGGAGAGAGTAAAAATTTAGAAAATTCAAGAATATATAAAGAGTTTAAAATGGTATTCAGAACAATGAAGAAGGATGTTGCTGAGAAGGGTAGTTACTAAAGAGATTAACATGAATGAAAGGAACTAGTTGCTAATCATAAAAAAGATGGGAAAAGAAGACATTTTAGAAATCTTCAAGTTGCCCCCTTCACCATAGCTCCAGTGATCTGGAAGACAGAGTAATTCTGAGGATTCTATATCAGTTTAGGACTCTTCTCTTTATCTGGGGCAAATACTCCTTCATCCAGGTCATGGGTGAGACTACCACTCTGCGTGGCTTGGGCTACCATTCTGGAAGTGCAAGTCATAAAACTTGGCGCTGTCCCTGTGGTGTTAATTCTGTAGGCATGCAGGAGGTGCAGTTTCTTCTACTTAGACTTCAAAGAGCTCACACTCAGTCTGTAGGCCCAGGCAGAATCCTGTCACCGAAGCAGAGCATCCCAGAGAGTTCCTATGCCTGGTGGAACCCTCGGGGGAAGGCCCAGTCTGTGAGGCCTTAGAACTTCAGAGTCACCAGGAATGCTCAATGCTGACCTGCGAAAGCTGTAAGCACCAGTGTGAAACTTCCCAGAGAGCCTGAAGATGGGTAGAGCCTAAAATAGACATAGGGGCTGGAAGTGTCATATAGAACAAAAGAGTATGCTCTAGTTTCAATGGAGTGCCCCTTTGGGTTTTGGACTTCTTAGGGCTTGTAATTCCTTTTTGCCTATCTTCTTCTTCATAGTAGGAGTATCTATCTTATACCTTTCCCTCAAGCCCATTGTATATTAGGAATTGATGACTTGTTTAAGTTTCACAGCTGAAAGAAATTTGGTGCTAATCTCAGAAGTGACTTTGTTCTTTAAACTTTTCAGTTGATGCTGGAATGAGTTAAGGTTTTGGGACTTTTTGGATGGCTTGTGTATCTTCCGCATTGTGAGAAGGATGTAAATTTTGGGGGCCAGAGAATAAATGCTGTGGGTTTAGTATGTCACCCAAAAAGTCATGTAGTAGAATTTTGATTCCTCAGTGTGGCAGTGTTGGAAGGTGGATCTTTGTTGGATGTGCTTTGGCCACAGAAATGAAGACTTTATAAGCTTTATAAATGGATTAATGCTTCTCTTACACAAACAGGTAGCTTCTGAGGGAGTTTGACCTCTTTTTCTCTTATGTTGTTATACCTTCTCTCTGACATGTTGTGTAGCAGCATAAAGTTCTTGCCAAATCTGTGACTCAGTTTTAAACTTCCCAGCCTCCAAAATCATCATCCTAATAGATTTCATTCCATTACAAATCACCCAGTCTTAGATATTCTGTGATAGCAACAGAATATAGACTAAGACAATTTTTCTTTTTACACTTACAGGGCAATATCTGTGATCTCTGGGGAGACAGAGTTTATTTTCTTAGTGGAAACTGTTGAGCTTATGAAAATACTCAACAGTACTGGTTGGGGGATGCTGCTGGTGGTGGTGTGTGTGGTGGACTCTAAAACTAACGAAACTTCATTCATAATCCAAAAGAAGCAGTGGACTCTTGGAGTTTGAATATTTGTTTCTTTGAGTGCTTGTTATCTCAGACCTAATAGTACATTCATGTACATTTTTTAGTCAGCTTTCTCCTTTCTGAGACACAGTGCCTAACACTCATGACCTACAGGACAAGTTGAAATTGTCCTAGTTCTAGCCCATCATCTGCTCCCTCCAAGGCAGAGATGTCATGGTGGAAGTGTGTGATGGAGCAAAGCTGCTTTGTTCATGGTGACTGGGAAACAGAGCAGGAAGAGAGTGCCGTTGAGGCATAGGAGAGTGACTGTGTATAGTACTCCAGCTCACATGTCCATCACCCAGCAGACGCACATCTAGGAAAATGCTGTACTAATCTCCTAGGTGTTTCATAATCAAATGAAGACCTATCAGGATTAATGGTCACACATACTTCTCAATTAAAGGATGCATTCAAAAATCGATTACAAGGATGCCACACATAAACCAATTTCCCTTAACTGAGGATATTGCCTCTTTTTAATGACACAAGAAACAAAATAATAAAAATTTAAGATGCAGTTTTATAGGTCTCTCTCTCTTTTTCTCTACATCCCAGATGGTGGTTGAGGCTATTTTTTCTTCTTCTTCTAATCTTGTCCTTACTACAGTATCTTTAAGGCACATGTGTTCTGCTCCTTACTCAATTACATTTATATGAAGAATTTCTGGAGATGAAATTGTTACTTCAAGGTTACTAAAGGTGAAGGGAGCTTATAAGAACTGAAACTCACCTTACTTAGGCCTGGATGGGCATCAGGTTGCTACTTATTTTGTGTGAATAAGACTCCTTTCCTTTCTCCTTCCCTCCTTGTTTCTCTCTCATAAATGTGATGTACACCTGACTTCTGCTGCAAACATCATCTGACTTGATTTTTCTAATGAAAACTTTCCTTTGAGTACTATTTGCATGAGTGAGGGAGAAGTTTTATGTTAGTTATCATTCAGTATCTTTGCCCACCCACTGTTAATAGATATGCAGGTTTTCAAGGGCACGGAAAACCCAGGGATGGTCGTGGTCCAGGGGTCTTGGTGGTTCCATCTTTGCCATTGCTCCTGCAGTTCCATGATGCCTCACTGATCCGACAGCTCCTATGGCCCTACACGTCAGATCTGTCCCAGGACACCTACTCTCATCTTTTCCAACTCTTGGGACTCTGCAACTTTATTACCCCTATATCCTATTACCCCTATTGCCCTATATCCAGGCTTTTGAAGACATAGCTCTATAAGTTACTCCCTGGAGCAAGGGATTACTCAGGGATTTAGGAACTGATGTCCCATTTTTAATTGTGAGGGAGAAAGAAAATTATCATTGTTCCTAGAAGTGTTTTAAATGATTAAACTATTCTCTTTCTATTAGGAATAGTACTGTTATCTACTGGAGATGAGCTTGTACAAATGTAGTCTACAATTTTCTAGTAGTGTATTCTGCAGAAGTATACTTCTGTAAACCTCATCTGCTCTACTGGTAAGTGAGCACGACAATCATAACAATAGCAAATGTCTGCTATGACACAAATGAGATATTTGTGCATTGATGCCTGGCACACTCTAAGTGTTGTGTCCTTAACAAATTTTGAATCAAGTTTTACAAAGCCCTCTGCTAGGCAGTGAGAGTGCAGATGAATGCAGCATTGTTTCTGTTCTCACAGAATGTTTGTCCTTATGAGATATATGAAGATATAGGTACTGTAAAAGTATAAGTACTCAGGTGCTAATTGGAGGACAGAGTTGAGATATCTGAAACAACTCTATAAATCTTACAGAGATCTTGTTCCCCTAAAATAGCATCTTTTACATCTAATGCTATGTGAGAAGCCTTGGATAGCTCATTTGAAGGTATCATGGTACTGGAAGCTTTCGTGGCAGAATGTACTTCCCTTTGGGGAATTTCATCTGCTGCCTCTAAAACTGGCTCAACTGCTGCCACTCAAACCTGTTTTCCTGAAGCCAAGTCCGTTGTTTGTGATCCTGTCTTTGCTCTGGCCCCCCACTTGGGCATTTGTCTTGGATTGCTTAGTTTTCACCTACTGTTTCTGCAAGGCTAAGTGTTTGCCAGGCTGGCTCTGCTGCGCCTGGCTCTGTCCCCAAGAGCTCAGCCAACCGCCATTGTACCTCAGCCTCTGTACCTTTGTGTCTGAGTATTTCTCTGCAACACTTGTCACCCTGAAAGCCTTGTTTGACCCTCAGGAAAAACACAGACTCAGTCTCTTCTTTAGTGTTGGCCTGGGCTGTTTTCTAATGCCTTTTCATAGCAATCCAGGCATTGTTTGTATCTCTATGGGATGTGTTGTACTACACGCCATAGAGTGTGCTGCTAGTCTTGGCCTGAAATGCAAACATTTATTATCAAATTATGTAAGAAGTTCCTCTTCTGAATTTCTGTTCAGAGGGTTGATAATGTGACCAAGGATGTGGACATTTTCTCCTGTTCTGCTTCATCGTTCTTGGTTTGTTTGCCATGTTTCTTTCAGGGATCCAAGTGGTTGCTGCAGCCTAGAGCTAGCCATAGTCAAAAATAAAAGGGGGAAGGTAATACGAGATATTATTCCTTTTTTTGTGTGTGTCTTTTTCCTTTTTATCGGTACCGGGGATCGATCTCACGACTGCCTGCTTGCAAGGCAGGCGCTTATGCCGCTGAGCTAAATCTCCAGCCCCAAGATATTATTCCTTATAGATACGTCTCTTTTATCCAATAGGAAAAGAGAATTCCAGAAACTTCCCAAATGTTCTCCTACATTTTATAGAGACATTTCTTATAATAATAAGATGCTAGAAAAGTGATTAACTGGTATTATTTCTACTGAACACCATAACATGATTTGCATGATGGGATTGGAAACAGTTGTTGGATAAATAAGTAACAGTATGTGTCACATCACTGTTCAAGAATTTGGAAACAACTTAATTTTTATTGTATGTAGCTTGGTTCACATTGACTCATGCTAATTGGATAACAAAAGTGCTTTCATAGTGATCTTATTTCATAACATATCCTTTGTCATTTCTTGTGCTTTTCTATTTTCATGTCTTTTTAAAAAATGTAATATTATACTTACCTGGAAGGGGAGAGACCATGATCACAAAGGTGGTTTCCACAGAATGAGGCTTATCCACTGCACTGCAGATGTGTCGACCCTGTGATTTACCCAAATGCGGAAAACTCAATTGCAAAATTTGTGGTGGTGGTGGGAACTGTATTTGTGCTTCCTCATGTTAAAAAAATTACTATTAATTTATTTATTTTTATTTTGAAATACAGGGTTTTCATCTATATTTTGTCAGGCTCAGAGCTTTTTGTCTGACAAGTTTTATTATTATAACACTTCAACTACCTAAACTTCATAAAAGATTAGGTAAGCAATGGTTTGTATTCATAAGCAAAATTGGATAACAAAAGTGCTTTCATAGTGATCATATTTCATAACCTTATTTCATAACATATCCTTTGTCATTTCTTGTGCTTTTCTATTTTCATGTCTTTTAAAAAATGTAATATGATAAAATGGTAAAATGTTAATATCATAGCTATCTATCTATAGTTACCTGTGTTAGTTATCTGTTCTATCTACAGTAGGATGCTAATTATGGAATTTTAAACAGCCACATGCTATATTTTATCTAAGCTGAACAACTCAAAATGGAAAGAATGTCCTCAAAACAGTGCACATGACTTTGCATTTTTCCTCTTGATTGTTTACATTAGACCCAAACCAGCATGCAGTGACTACAGAGTCACAGCATTTATTCCCAAGCTCCTTCTTTCCTCTCTGCCTCAGAAGCTGATCATCTCCGGGGCTGTGCAGTCAGTGGGCTGGAACTTGTTGCACAGGTGAGAATAATGACTGAGTCGCTCTCCGAGAGTGGAGCAGGACAGACCCACGCTCAGCAAGTCTTTGTAGTGTGCTGCCTCTGATCTCTGATTCTGCTAGTTGTGAACAAGCTTGTTCTTCTTTCTGAATTATTTAAAAAGAATATTGTTACTTTTAAGCATGGAAGTGTATTTTTTTTTTTTTTTTTGTACCAGGAATCAAACTCAGGACCTCATGATTACCAGGCAGGCACTTATGCCACTGAGCTAAATCCCTGGCCCTATTGTTATTCTTATTAACAATAGCAACCTTTATTGAATGTTTACATCGAACAGAAATCACCTCAGGTACTTCTCTTATAATATTGTATTATATAATTGTATATTGTAATATTGTATTTTATAATTTTTAAATCTCACAATTGATTTGTGATATGGATATCGACTCATTTTGCATGCTGGGAGCTGACAATACCCCCAAGTAATTTAAAGGACAATGAAGATATTTGTCCCAAAATATTTTGTCCTTCATTTGTTTGACTCTCTGAAATTTTTCCTATTATTTTCCCTACTTCTCTTATCCAGAGATCTCCTTTGTCTTAAGTTGAATGCCTTAAAAGTGGCAATTGTATTGGATTATGAAAAATGACTTGTTAAGGAACCACTCACCAAAGAGAGGAGGTACACTAAGCAGGTTAGAGCAGGAATGAAAGCAAAAAAAGTTATCATCTTGGCTAGAGATCAGACACATGGGTGCTCTGGGATACAAGTTGCTGCATGGATTGAGTCTTGGACTGGCACGTTATATGCCTGTGTCAGTCTTGTTGGCTACTGGCTGTGTATTTTAGCAGCTAATCTTCACAATTAGCTGGGACATTGCTGGGAGTCTGAGAACATTCACCACAGTCCACTTCTTGCCCTGTTCCAACTCATTTGCTCTCTCACATTCAAGGTTTATTCCATCCAGGCCCAGCCTGACAATGATGAGTGGCCAAGTTAGTAGGATAAATGACAGCTTCCAAACTGCCATTGGTCTTAAAGGGCTAACCAGTACTTATTTTCTCTTTTTCTATCCATATTATTCCCTGATGCCTTTAGCTAGTGCTTCTGCTCATTTTGGTAACTTCAGTGGTTGGGTGACATCTTCTCAGTCACTGCAATGTTTAATTCTAATCACTGTTGTGTCAGATGGCAGTGCTGTACTTTCCGGTCATATTTAACCCCTTGTGAGTACCAAGAGATGCACTTGAGTACCAGACATATTTCTCCCTGCCCCTTATGTAGAGTGATATTTCTACCTTCTTATGATGGGGTCAATTATATTTGTTGATATGTTAATTCCTATTTATACTACCTCAATAATTTGTCATTATGAGCACAAAGTGACTAGATGGCACAGCAGTTTAAGATTTATGACACTCATTGTGTTGCTTGGAAGAAGATCTTCCAACTGAGATCACGGATTTGGGCTAAAAATGCCTGACATTGCAGGGATTTAAAACATACTTCCTCAGTTAGACAACTGTGGTTAATGGAGAATAGGGCTCTTCCTATTGGTTCCTAGATTCAAGAATTCCAGCTGTTGCCAAGACAGCATCATGTAATAACCACTGGGTTAGGTGTAAGTGGCATCCTGAAGAATGATGCCCACTTTTTCCAGAGGTGACATGTCCAAATACAGGCATCTGCTATGCTTCATGGTGCTGTGTTAATGTTCTCTCAGGTAGCATCACAGGGTGGTATAGTACATGGCACAGTGATATTTATTCCTTTGTGTACAGCTTGCCTGAGTTTGAACCCATTGAGTCCTTATCTTAGATAATCCCCCTTTATTCCAGCCTGAATTGCTGCTATGCCTGTCTGACCTGTGACTGTGTAAGTGTGACAGTACACATGTTACAGGTGCTAAGAGATAGTTCTAATGACTTGGTAGAGTAGGTGCTGCGTTTCCACTAGGGCCCAGACTATAGCAGAAGCTGCTTTTCAAATGCTGTGTCTTTATTCCCTGTGTATGCCATGGTTTTGATACAGGAGCCTGGGGGTGCTGTCACAACTCTCCTACTAAAGCTAGTCAGATACTCCGTAGAGTGCCCTTCTCTGATGTAGAAAATTCTGGCCATGTGAGATCTTCTGGGATCCTTGCATCTCAGCCTGGAGTAATTGAAAAGTCACTCCTTTTGCAGGCTCTACTCAAAACCAGCAGCCCTTTTTGTGCTCCATAGTAAACGGATTCTAAAACCTGAAGAGATCTGCCAAGCATAGTGCTTCTTAGAAAGAGAAGATAAAAAAATCATACCTTTTTTCCTTCTGAGAAGTGGCTTCAACATACGTCAGACTCCAATAATTCATGAGATGTTGCAAGTTTTTTGACTTCTGCTAGGATCTTTGTGAGGTTTCTGTCTTGTGCTCTGAAGCATGCATGTTTTATTTATCAAAACATCCCTCATACTTATGATTTCTTGCTCCTCAGGTATTACTAAAATGTTATTAATACTAGACAACCAGTATGAGATTTTAAAGGTTAGCAGTTATGGCTATCAGTCCCCATTCCTGTCTCCTGGATATATGGCCTCCATATATCTGAAGGAAAATCCGCTAGAGGAAGGAATAGCTGAAATTATAGCCAGCACTCAAATCAGATATGGGACGGTCATCTACTACATGGTGCTAATATAAAATGACATCATCTGGAGTTAAGGGCGTGTTAGTGAGCGGGGAAAAAAAAAAATCAGAGTTCAGTTCACCGGGATCTCTTACAGACACACTTAATTGAAAAGCATTGAAAGGCAGATGCATCTTGAGAGACAATGAAAAGCGAGAATTGGTTGCCAGGAGTTGTGAGTAGTTAGGGACCCACTCTGTGGGAAGTGGTCTCTGTGCTGGGGAGGGGACTGCCAAGTACTCAGAAATTTAGCAATTTTAGGTTTTATAAATTTACCAATTCTCCAAAGTCAAAGCAGACTGCACATAATAATTTATCACAGAGCTAAAGTGAACCCTTGCACATTTTCCTTTTCCTAAATTGCAATCACAAAACGCCATCTGGTTAGTCAATTTTTAGGGTTATTATTGTTATTTTCTCATTTGAAAATCCATCAACCTCCTGGGTGTGTAATAGCTTTATGTCTATGTCTCAGTAGAGGGAAAGAAAGTGCTTTCTTATTTTGCAGCGCTAGTCCTGCCATTTACAAGTGCAAACCTGATCCTGTTTGCTCCATAGCTAAAAACAAAACAATGGTTCTGTGCAGCAGTTACATTTAAATCAGACTTCTCTGTCTGGTACAGTGGCTTGTAATTGTCTCAGAAAATGAACTAAGGATTTGGATTCAGAGAGTTTACTGGGAGAAGTTATGGCAGGCTGGGAGGGAAGGCATGAGGAATGTGGAAGAGAGAAAGAGAAGGAGACAAAACAGAGACAAGCAGGGTTTGATTCTGAATCACTGCAAGGATTCTGGGTGTTGTCTTGAATGCCTATTACAATCCACACCATCTAGCAGAAGCAAGGAGAAAAATTTATGGAGTTTCCCCAAGAGACCTAAATCTTCCCGTAATTCTGGTCTAAATGGGTTTTCAAATTAAATGGGCATTTTCCGGCTGCCTCCAACTCCACATCAAGAAATTAGAAAATATCCAGATCATAAAGCAAATGATTGTGGACAAGCTCTTGGTGAGTTTCTGTCTTCATAAAGCGATTTCAAGTTCACGTGAAAGTGTTCTTTAAAATGGTGGCTAGATTCCAACATGAAGCCAACAGGATGTGAGGAGGAACAAGAGTCAGTGAGCACACACACATACACACACACACACACACACACGTGTGTGCACACACACACACGCATGCATGCACACACAGCTAGTGAAGCTCTCCTGATTCTCCATTCTGATACCCCTGGCCTCAGCCCTGAATATGCTCACCCTTATCTCCTTCACATGCTCATGCAGGCATCCAAATCACACAACACCATTGTATATAGTTTGATTTTTTTTGTTTTGTTTTGTCCAAGCTGATCTCTTTTCTTAAAAGGACGCTGCTTTCTCCTTTGGAAATTAATTCAATATTTTTTCATGTACAAAAGTGCTTTAAAATCAGTTTTACTAACATTAACATGGTGTATAATTGAATAATAAGACATTGTCTTAGAGGCCAGAGTTTTTAATGAAGTCAATAGGCTTGACTTTGGATGAAATATTACAGGGATTGTCAGGATAGTCATTATAATAGGTGATCTATTAACAACTAATTTAATATTTTAAACCAGCCTTGGATATGACTCTGGGCTGGAAGCATGCATGATTTCCCCCAGTGAGGGTTAACTATTTCTACATTTTTATAACATCTGTATTATAGTTATGCTAATGTCCTTATTACAACACGCAAAGATATGACACCGAAATTTGTTTGTTA